CCTGCATGTGCTCCATACTGGAGGCCCCACTTAAGTCTTGTCTTGATGTGAATCATTCTAACTCATTGCTGCCTTGTAAAGCCTCCTAGACTCCTGGTGAAGCCAGGTGGGCTTGTATCCAAGTAATTGTTCCCCAGCTGCAGGATCACATGCTGCCAGAATTTCTTATCCTGCAGCATAAGAACAGCCTTGGGATCCTAATCTTGCTGCGTGGTACCCCATCACCCCCGCAACTGGGTCTGTTCCTGCATCTCAGTCCCTCACACTCTCTGAACTTCTCAATCACTATTTTTCCCACTTACTTAACCTTTCTCAACCCATCCATAGCCTAGGGGAGATCTGGAGGATCTGGTGGGCTGCTTGTTGCTGTTGATGCTGGACTGTGGGAAGGGGGAAGGTAGGGGAAGGTAGCCCCTCTTCATGCCGGGATGCTGGGGGCTTTGCATGTGCACTGAGCTGCCAGCAGGGCTCAGCAGAGAAGCTATGAAGCTCCTGCAGTCCTCTGGGTGGGGAGGCCCTGATCAAGGAGAGAGTTTTGGGGCAGTGTCACCGGGTATCTAGGTCAGGTACTGGGGTGGCATGAACTCAGATCTTTCACTTTACTGCAGGCCTGACAGAGATGCTGCCAAGTGCTGGCGTCTATTACTTTCCATGGGAGATCAACAGCTCAGTCCCAGAAGGGGAGGCACTGAGAACGTTTGGCAGGTGAGAAGGGTACACTGCTGTCCTTGCAGGCCAGGCTTTTCTTTCACTGGCTGACCCCAATCCCTTTGTAATTGTTGTATCTCTGCACTGCTGAGCTTCCCAAATCAATCATTCCCAGGTTATGCTGCTATGACCTGGCCCGGTCTGAAGCTGTTCTCACCGCTCAGCACAGCTCAGCTCAGTACCAGGTTTGTGTCGACACCAAGTTTGTGGAGCCATTCCAAGCCCAGCTGGGATCTCGCTACATGGTCCTGGGAGAGGCTGAACATAGGGAAGGTAAATGCTTCAGGCACCGGTGCCCTTTGCTGTTTGCTGTTCAACAGCTTCTTCATGGCTCCCTGTGTGCACGGTGAGACATGCTGTCGCTGAGGTTGGTGTTGGCCAAGGCAAGCCTCTAGTCACACAAGCATGTGATTCAGGGCAGGAGCAGCCTGTCTCTCCCCATTGACCATGAGAAGAGCCACCACCATTATTTTGGTGAAAATCCGATGCTCTGGCACAGATTTTGTTCTAAAAAAGAAGCACCTCAGCAGCATCGCTGGGTTGGTGAAAGCTGTAGTGGAACCTTCTGGCATCATTGCCAGCCACCATATCATCTTCACTCCAAACATGGTTGATTGCAGCAATACCTCACTGTGAGCTGGGGGTTGATCTTTGCCATCCTTGAAAGGCTCTAATTATATCCCTGCCCTCAAAACATGGGGCGTGAGGAATGGAGCAGGCTCTGTTGTGTAACAGGGCACCCTGTTATGTCCTTTCCTGGGTGCCCTGAGCATTACTCCAGCTGCACGGCTCTTTGCCTGGGGACTTGATCTGGGCTGGGCTGTGCGGTTGGGAAGCAAATCCCAAGTGTTGTCTTGCCCACACCTGGCAACAAGCATTCGCATTCATACCATTGAAACCCTCAGTGGCATGTGGAACACCACACTGCACATGGCACTGAGTGAGTAACCGGCTAAGCCACTGCTGCAGAGTTCCTTTACAAAGACATACTACTTTGTTTATCACAGCTTAGGAGCGAGTTGTCCCCATTTTGCAGGGGTGGAAGGGGAGCAGGCTGAGATGGTGGCTGTGTCGCCAGGGTTTGGCCTCTTTTGTGCATCTCTCTTACCATTTGAATGCTACTAACAAACTGTCAGTTATAGTCAGCATTGAGCCTGTTCTAAGCCCAGCTTTGTTCTGTCCTCGTCTGCATGGAGGCATTCAGAAATGAGCTTAGAACCCATCCCTGGTGCTTTTCAGACAGGGAAATCCAAACTTCATCCAGTCACGAAGTAAACAGATGCTGCATGGTAGGCATTGCATGTCCTAGGCTCAGTGTTCCCCAGTGCACGGAGAGCACGGTGTCAGCATTTTGTAGCCTACAGAAGGAAAGCACATAACTAAATTAACCTGCTCCTGGGCCTGCTGCTCACGCTGGTGGCTGGTCCAGTCTCCTGCAAGTTCTCAGGCTATGATTATTTGGCCAGCTGGAGCCATATGCTGCCTGTAGGGACCTCTCTGTTTGCCTCCAAGCTGCTCCATCTGGTTTTCTTTATAAAGAAACTTCCTGTTTTTCCCAGGTGAGGGTCCCGTGGTAAAGGCACGAATATTGACCTGCGTGGAAGGGCTGAATGTGCCCTTGCTGGAACAAGCCGTACAGGAGCAGAGGAAATACTTCAGCGAGAGGCAGGAGAAGAAGATGGGAAAGAGCACATCCCGACAGCAGCTCTGAGGCCAGCCGTATGCTGGTCCTTGCACTGCCATTTGCAACAGCTCTGTTAAAAGTAAATTTAGAAGATGGGTTTGCGACATACTGAGGTTTGCTGTGGTAAATAGCAAAGTAAAGTCACGATGAGGGAAATGCTTGAAGACTCTGTGAGTCAGTATGTGCCTGTGGGCTGTCCGTTCATGCAGGTGTCATCACTGAAAATAACCTCTGGGAAGCAGGTTGGGTTGTTTAAAAAGGGAGGTTAAGAAAAGGGAGCACTTGAGTTATACTGGTCCTTTTGTAACGCAGGGCTTGGAGAGGTCAGAAACAGGGGAAGTCTCTGAACCTGGAGTTAAGCAACTTACTCTCAAAGCTCAGCAGCTTATGGGCTGTTGGCAGATAAAGGGTGAAGGGCATTAGCACAAAGTTCATGAGCCCTGGGTGACTGCAGGTCCAGTTTAGTTACCATGACTCAGCTTCCATACAGGAGCGTTCCTGGCAAAACACTCACGGATCTGGGCTGACCAGCAAAGAAACAAGAAAAACAAAGAGTTATTTCCAGCAGCACTGCCTCTTCAGGTTTTCAGGAGCTGCTGTATGGGGGGGGGGGGGGCTGATTTTTACTGTAGAAAACATATTTGCAATGCCCTGAGAATCACAACTTGACTTGACTTTCTTCCTTGACACAACTAAGTTTAGGAGACCTTAAATCACTTTATTGCAGCTTTTGATTGATGTATTCCTAAATAAAGATTTAAAAAGAAGGCAGCCCGTCTCTTATTGATTGAAACCCTCTTTCTTGCTAAGGCAAATGCATAACACAAAGGCCTTGCAGAAACCCCTGGATTTGCTGGATGGATGGCGTAAGAAAACTTGGCGATGTGCAGTTTGCCTCCTCCTCAGCACTGGGTGTATAAAGAAGGGCTTGGCTTTGAAAACGTTGCAAGAAGAGGAGATGAAGTTACATCAGAGCCACTCTGGTTTAAGAACATGGTGCCAAGCCCACCTGGCAGAACTAAACCATCAACAAAAAGACCAAAAATCACTAATGTGAGATGAGAATAAGTTAGTGCAAGAGAGGAGACTCCTGTGCTATAGGAATGTCCGGACCTGGAGGTAGCTGGGACTGTGGTTTGCAGGCAGAATTCAGCCTTTTCTGCTTTTTGCTGGTGAAATGTACAGAAAATAGGGACTGAAGCAGTACAATGCACAGCAGCAGATCAAAACACAACAGGTATTGACAAAGTCCCCTGTTACCAGCAGGCTTGATTCAAGGGCCTGAGGTAGCTCAGTAATTACAGTGCTTTCTGTAATCTTTAATCTTAGTTTAGCCTTATGTTTTTCATTCACACAGTTACAGAAATACAAAAACCCTGCCTCAGCACACTTTGTTCTGCCCAAGTCCAAAAACATGAACTCAAGAGCCAAGATTTTTAACCTGGTTCTTTAAGAGACAGTGATGAGCTTGTCATGATGGGTTTATGTTTACACCTCATCTCCTGTCTCTTCTCCCACCTTCCTCCTCATGCTTAAATTTTATCCAAATGGCCAGGTTTGCCAGAGAGTTGGGAATAGCCACGATGCCAGGGCTGGGAACAGCCAAGATACCAGATTCCTACAAGAAAACAACCAGAAAATCAACCAACCATGAAGCGGAGAGCAGATTTAGCAGTGACTCCAAGTGGAGATATGAGGACAAATTCAACCTTCACAAGCCACTGGGGAACCCACACTGGAGTTGGCCGTAGCCACGTGGATCCCTCTGCAGCCACAGAACGACTGCCCTTCGGTTCTTTCACATTGGCAGAAATCAGGATCAGTTGCACAAGGATGTTAAGCTGGCTCAGCAATGGGTTAAAGCAGTCCTTTGGGGGTCACCTAAAGTTGGGGTCTGCACTGTGGACCCATGCACCCATGTCCTGCTGTGCCCACCCAGAGACATGGAACCCCCAAGCTTTCCAGAGGACGGGCCCAATGGCCCTGTCTGCGTGCCCATTTATAATGGGTTTTTAATCTTGCTGCCTGCCAGCTATCAAGTCAATGATTAACCCCCACCAAGGACATCTCCCGAAAGGCCGGCTGAGTGGCACAGCCCACAGTGGGAAGCTTCAAGGGACAATTTCGCAAGAGAGAGCAAACACATGAAACAAGAAATGAAGAAAAAAAGACACTTCTGCTGTATGTTTGACCTGAGCATCCCCAGGGAACCTCCATTCTTTGCTGCATCGCCTTGGTGCCGGGCACTGTAAAAGGGCTGAAGAGCCTCCCTCGGCGCTGCGCAGTGCCCGTGCCGCAGGCCCAAAGCACCCTTTGCCTCCATTTTGCCCTGGTTTTGCTCTAGCCAGCGCACTGTGGGTCACGCTGCAGCCAGTACTGGTTGCTGCACAGCGTGCTGGGCTTTTTTGGGTGGGCTTGAAGACCCGCAAACACCCCCCAGAGCCCCAGCAGGCTCTGTCTGCCTGCTGCTGCCTCAGCCAAAGGCAGGCCCCTGCGCTGGGGGAGCAGCAAGAGGGGACCCAGACCCCAAGAGCAGCTCAGGGGAAGAGCAGACCCTTTCCACACACATTTGGCTGTAGGTTTTCCCCCGTTTCCTTTTGCTCCTCAGAAAGCGGTGCCAGCCACCCCCTGCGGCCATCGCGAGGCAGCGGCAGCGGCATGGACCCCTGCCAGGAGGTGTTTCAGAAGCTGGAGAAGATCGGGGAGGGCACCTATGGCGTGGTGTACAAGGCTCGCAACAAGCGCACGGGGCAGCTGGTGGCCCTCAAGAAGATCCGCTTGGACTCGTGAGTGGGGAAGAGCCCAGGAATGCCATGCACAGGGTGCTGAGGAGAGAGGGGGGGTGAGGAAGGCAAATGGCTCCTCTGGGGCCTAAGGCCCGAGGCCTGCCGTGGGGGTGAGCAGGAGGGTCCTGAGCCCTGCAAGGGGCAGGAGGCTCACAAAAGCCTGACGTGAGGGAAAGAAATGTCTCTTAACCAGCTCAAGCAAGCAGCTAGGGCCTCACCTGGCCCTACGTGGCTCTGGCTTCACAGCGCAGGGCAAGGGGAAGTAGCCACCATTTTGGGAGGTGTCCTGTTCCTCAGGGGCATGGTGCTTGCAAGGCTCCGTCTGCCTCAGAGACCACTTCAAGGCTCGGGCGTCTCAGCCACTGTTGCTTCTCCAAGTGTGCCCTCAGGTGCTCTAAAACCAGCTCTGCCTCGGAGTTTGCACTGAGACCACCCCTTCCTTCTCCTTCCCCACGGCTCCATTTCCCCCCGCCTCACACGCGGCTCCATCCCAGAGCCAGGGTGCTCAGCGTGGCACACGCTGCCCCACACAGGGTGATGGGGTACAAAGGGGGACACAGGCTGTGGGATCCTGGGGGATGGGTGCTATGCAGCCTGTCTCTGCCGCAGCGACACGGAGGGTGTCCCTAGCACTGCAATCCGAGAAATCTCACTGCTGAAGGAGCTGAAGCACCCCAACATAGTAAGGTAAGACCTGGATGTACCCTCTCAGCAGCTCATCGATGAGCTCCTGCTCTGGGAGCTCTGGGTACAGGCAGCAAGAGAGGTTTTCCTGTCCTTCCTGACTGCAGGACAGGAGCCAAATAGGAAAATGCAGGAACCATTTACACTTCCCTGGTTCTCAGCAATAGCTCACAGCACTGCTACTTCATTCCAGCAACACAGGCTGGTCCAAGCCGCTGCTATCCTATGCTAGATTCTGCTTTTGTGTCTACCTCTCTCTGCTCCAAAGGACTCCCAGAGCAGAGCAGTCTGTGGGAGCAGGGATTTCTGGGTCTGGAGGACCTTTCAGATACCAAAGGGAGCACTTGCATTTCTTTTGCAGGCTCCTGGATGTCATACACAGCCAGAAGAAGCTCTATCTGGTGTTTGAGTATCTGAATCAGGACCTGAAGAAATACATGGACTCATCCCAAACCAGAGAGCTTCCTTTAAGCTTGGTCAAGGTACAGCATGGAGGGAATGCTAACAGGCAGGGCAGAAGGCATGTGTCCTTGCTGCCTTCTGCTGGGCAGAGCCATCACTGAGCTGCTCATACCCTGGCTTCTTCTGAAGAGACTCATCCTTGGCTGGAGGCATTCAATCTCTCAGATCTCAGACAATTCAGCTGGGAAACCCTCATGACACTATTGCTCAGTGCTTTCATTTCCCAGCTGTTTCCAGGCTCTCCAGCCCATCTCACTGCAGCACAAACTGCTCCTAAGAGGACAGCTGGGGGATCTATTACTAATTGCCTTGTTACAGAGCAGTAGATGTGTGGAAGGAACTGCCACTTGACTGGAATCTCTCTGTCTCCACATAGGGTGGGAGCAGTTTGTGTGGGTCTCTGAGTAGTGGCCCGCCAGCCTAGTGTTGCATTATAACAAAGTCTGTTTTCCCCTTCAGGTCTATAAATGAGATCCAGCCTTCAAAGTAGTTTCACAGTGGCCTTGTCTGAAATCTTTTCTCTCCATAGAACTACCTTTTCCAGCTGCTGCAGGGTGTGAACTTCTGCCACTCACACAGAGTCATACACAGGGACTTGAAGCCACAGAACTTGCTCATTAACGAAGCAGGAGTAATCAAGCTGGCTGATTTTGGGCTGGCAAGAGCTTTCGGTGTCCCCCTGCGCACGTACACTCATGAGGTACTGTTGAGGCTCTCTGCTACCTGAGAGTGGGGTACACAATCCATAGTGCGTGAACAAAAGCACCATCATAAGTTACTCATCCATAACAGAGTCACAGGCCTGCCCAGGCACATGCTCTTAACATCATCTGCAGCTACAGGGCTACCTCATGTCCCACACAGTGTGCCGACTGCTTCTACCCTAGACTGCCTGCAAGCTGGGTTCCCACCTTCTCTGCATTGGGTATATTTATTTGTTGCAGAGGCTCCTGTTGAAGGATGATCTGTTAATCCCAGTCATGCTGTCACTAAGGTATTTGTTAATTCAGCATGGCCTTGGCATGCTCTGATTTGTACAGTCACTGCATTACAGCTGAGAAGAGAGGATTCCATACCTCTGCTTTCATCCAGGGAAACAACCAAAACTTGTTTCTTTGTTCCTTACCAGGTAGTGACTCTGTGGTACCGAGCCCCTGAAATACTGCTGGGATGCAAATATTACTCAACCCCTGTGGATATCTGGAGCGTCGGCTGCATCTTTGCAGAAATGGTAGAATGGGTTTAAATAGCCTTTTTAATGAGCAGGGAGGATGCAGCTGCAATGGGAAGTGGGGAAGAAGGGGCAAGACACAGAGCATCTGTGATAGTGTGGTCCCACCCTATGCTGGGGTGTATTTTATGGGAAGTACACTAAAGATGATCTTAATGTCCTTTAAAACTCAAGCTTTTCTATGATTCTGTGAGGGTTAGCTGATCTTTAACTGTGGGTTCAGAAGGAAATCTGCCACCCTCATGTGCCTGGCAGAAGGCCAAGTCTCTGTTGCCTGGCTGCAGTTCCAGGTAGGTGGGAATTTTGGTGCCTCCCCTTGCAGAAGGGGCAACTTCAATGTTTTTGCTGCAGCATTTTGACCCTGGGAGGAGGTGCTTCTTGCAGATGTCCCCATAATAGGCTGCAGAGAGCTAACACTCTCATAGCATGGCAGAGTGGATTTCTTTGGGGTCCATACACCACTTTGAAGGGCTTTTGTTATCCCTGCAGTGTAATAGCACTATCCCTAGCTCACGAAGCCACTGGAGCTGCCAAGCAGCAGATCCTGGGCAAGTAAGAGGGGAAGGAGCTAACCTGCAAGAACGGGTGTTAGGAAACTGGAGACAAAGAAGGACAAGGAACTGGCTGAAAGGGAGGCAGCCTCAGGGGAACATGGATCCATGGAGAGGTGCTGGAGACAAGCAGCCACACCTGTGACTTTCCCAACCACTGACCTGTCTGTGCAGTTGTTTGCATCTGCTGGGACATAGGGCTGCTTACAGCAGGAAATAGAACTGATAGAAAGGTAGGAATTATCTTTCCCCCACAGCTGACCAGGAAGGCCCTGTTTCCAGGGGACTCTGAGATCGATCAGCTCTTCCGGATCTTTCGCACTCTGGGCACTCCCACTGAGGAGACCTGGCCTGGAGTGACCCAGCTGCCTGACTACAAGGAGAACTTTCCCCAGTGGGCAAGGAAGGAGATGACAGAAATTGTTCCCAGCTTAAATCGAGATGGTAGAGACTTACTGGTGGTGAGTAACAAGTGCACTATTTTTAGGGACTCTGTTCTGACCACAGAATCATCAGAACAAGACCCTGGGACATGCAGGACCTTTTGAAACTGGGAAAAGAACAGGGACATTTGGGACTGATCTACCTGGATGTGCATTAGCTGACCTGGCTCTAATGCTCATCTCTGCCACTGCAGAAACAACAAATCATCAAACAGTGCTAAGTCCTGGCTCTAAAGCAGGACTGTCATTGCAGGTTCCTCTAGGAAACCACTGCATTGAGGGTCAAGAAACCCTTCTAACATAATTCCCATGGTAACTCCAGCTGTGGGTTACCCCCAAAGCCTGGAAAGGAGGAAAAACAGGAGTAACATCTGCATCTAGGACCACCACATGCAGGTACATTCCATCATTTTGTTTTTAAATTGCTAATTCTTCTGGGTTTCCTCTTGGTAGCAATTGCTCCTGTACGACCCCAGCAAGCGCATCTCAGCCAAGGCAGCCCTCAGTCACCAGTACTTCTTCCAGAGAAGCCCTCGGAAGCCTGAAGAGCAACGTGTGCTGCAGAAACACTGCAGATGAGAAAATACAGTTGGGATCCCTTCTCCTGAGGAGCCTGGAGGGGACATTCTTGCATTTAGAGACTCTCAGCCTGTTTTCCTGGGGGAAAGTTTGAGTTATAGCCCGTAGAACCCTTTTAAATGGGTCACGTGCAAAAGTAGGGGGGTATTTATCAGCGTAAAACACTGAAATGTGAGAGATCATCTTTCAGAGGTTTGTCCTTGCGTTGGTGAGCTAAGGTGACACAGTGATGTCTGCCAGCACTGGAGTCATCCCCGCATTCCCAGCAGCGGCACATCCCCAGGTGTGCCGGTGGCAGTTTCTGACAGCAGGGTGTGCCGGAGCTCCACTGCGGGCAAGGGAGCACTTCTCTGCTCCGCTGCTGTTACCAAAGCCTTGGCTTGTCAGCACTAGACAAGTTGTTTATTCTGAGCTGTTTAACAGAGCTGGCATTCTGCTCTTTCACAAGCTGAAATGCACTATATGATGTCTTAATTTGTACCTTAGCTGGGACCAAGAATCCGAAAGATCCAGTTAACATAAAGCACTTAATGCATGTGGCTGGAAAGAGAAACAGCTAGAGCCCTGGTTGTCCACCATTGGTCCAGACATAATGCTGTTTCCTTCACTTTATTATCTTGAAAATGTTTTTTGTTGTTCAAATGATTCAAGAATTGTCCCTAACTTTTGGTGTGGTTTTTACATCTTTTTCTTTTCAGTACAGAAGAGAAATAAAGGCTTGTCATTTGTTCAGAAGCCTTGGCATTTGTTCTTTGGTTGGGGCAGCCCATCAGCTAGTGAGGCAGCCCAGTCTGGCTCATCCTTTTTTCCCACAGAGCTCTTGTCCTTTTCTAATCTCCTATACTCTTTCTTTTATCTTTTCCAGCCCAAACCCTTGGCAGGTGCAGAGATGTGCTCTCACTTCCACTGTGGACATGGGACTGATGGTTTTACAGGCCAGTGCAGTCTCGATGGTAAGATGGGCTTGCTTTCCATCAGAGGTTCCCACAAACCAGTTTAGTTATGTTCTACATTTAAATACCCAAAAGACAGACTTTTAACGTAAGACAAACTTCTGTGCTTCTGCTTTCCGTGCACTCGCACACATGCCCTCCTAATGACTGTGATCCTCAGCATAAAAGTGCTATCCCAAAAGCCATCATGTTTATAGACTTTCGTGACAGATAAACACTGCAGTAAAGGAGAGGGGCACACAGAGCACACAGAGCTGTAGCAACACTCTCCTTCTGCATATACCACATATCAGAGAATTTGCACAGTGGAGGGAAGGCTTTAGAGTGCCTCCTGGAAAGCCCTCTCAATACAAGACCTACCTGTCTAAAGCCAAGTTCAGCTGTCCTTTGACATCATAGAATCATAGAATAGTTAGGGTTGGAAAGAACCTTAAGATCATCCAGTTCCAACCCCCCTGCTATGGGCAGGGACACCTCCCACTAAACCATGTCACCCAAGGCTCTGTCCAACCTGACCTTGAACACCACCAGGGATGGAGCATTCACAACTTCCCTGGGCAGCCCTTTCCAGTGCCTCACCTCCCTCACAGTAAAGAACTTCTTCCTTATGTCCAATCTAAACTTCCCCTGTTTAAGTTTTAACCCGTTACCCCTTGTCCTATCACTACAGTCCCTAATGAAGAGTCCCTCCACAGCATCCCTATAGCCCCCCTTAAGATACTGGAAGGCTGCTATGAGGTCTCTATGCAGCCTTCTCTTCTCCAGGCTGAACAGCCCCAACTTTCTCAGCCTGTCTTCATACAGGAGGTGCTCCAGCCCCTGATCATCCTCGTGGCCTTCCTCTGGACTTGTTCCAACAGTTCCATGTCCTTTTTATGTTCTTTGACATCCTCCATCATTCATTCCTCTTCCCCACCCAACACAAGGCAGTGGGTGGCTCTGCTTTATTCCTGGCACCAAAAAGACCTTTGGAAACCCTATTGCAGCAGCCACACCTCCTGACAGATCCCAGCAACAAAACCCTAGGACAACTCCTGACACATCCCAACAGTGAAACCCTGGGACAAATCCTGACAGATCCCCACAGTGAAACCCTGGGACATGTTGCTCACCTGCCCCTGGGCTGGGCTCAGCAGCAGCCTCCAGAACTGCGTGGCAGGAAGATTGAGAAGCTGTGCTCCTGCAGCCTCTCATAACCTCTATGTGACAACACCCAGCTCACAGGGGCACATTTGTGAGATGTGGATGAGTTCTGCTATGGGAATCATTTCCCTACCCTTGCATATGTTTTTTTAGGTTATCTCATTTCATAGAGACAATACTCTACTGTTTGCTCTATGCAAGCAAATCTTGTGTTGTACCAGTCAAGCTGTTTTCAGGAGAGATTGCTTTTTGATTTGTTAAGATCTGCATTAAAAAGTAAATACCAAGGACATACATAGAGAATGATTCAGGTTAGAAAGGACCTTAAGATCATCTAGTTCTAACCCCCTGCCACAGGCAGGGACACCTTCCACTAGACCATGTTGTCCAAGGCTGTCAAACATGGCCTTGAATGCTGCCAGGGATAGAGCATTTACCACTTCTTTGGGCAAGCTGTTCCAGCGCCTCACCACCCTCACAGGGAAGAACTTCAGCCTTATATCTAACCTGAGCTTCCCCTGCTTCAGTTCGAACCCTTCACCCCTTGTCCTATCACTACAGTCCCTGAGAGTCCCTCTCCAGCATCCTTATAGCTCCCTTCAGATACTGGAAGCTGCTCTGAGGCCTCCATACAGCCTTCTTCAAGACCAGAAACATAAATAAAATTACTACAGCTCATCTAGCCCAATAAGATGATGCAACACCCTGAATTTCACATATTTGTGACCCAACCCTACTGCCAAAAAAGGAGCCCAAAAACAGCTGTGTCGAAACACCCACTCTGGGAAAGCCATGATGCAGCAACATCACCCTCTGCACAGGAAGGGAGGAAAAGCACTACCTGGCTCCTGAGCAGCTCACAAGCCACCTGGGCTCTGGGGAAGCTCCATGGCTGTGTGGTGTTCCTACAGACACATCAGGAATACAAGATACCAGCTACTTTCTGCAGGTGAGGACCACTTGGTACCAAAGAAAAGGGTTTTTAGTGGGGTTTTATTCATAAAGTAAAGGCAGACCAGCCTTGAAGGGAGCCTACTCAAGCACCTGATCATCTCTTAATGCCTTCAACCAGCCCTGGGTGAACACCTCCCACCTCACAGCAGGGGAACACTTTATCCACACTAATTAACTGAGTGCCTAATTACCAGGACACCAAGTCCTTCAGTTACAGAGCATTTCCCCAGAACCATTTACTCAGCACTTCAGGAAAGAGTCACCACGTGAACCTTGTGCATTAAAAGCAAGCACTGTTCTCCTTGGCAAGAGGGGCAGTCCCACGGAACTGGGCAAGGGAAGGCTGAAGCAAACTCACCTGCTGGGCAGAGGTGAACTGCGGAAAGGCAACAGCCCTGCTGCTGCTGGATCTTCCCAGTGTTCAGCCAGCTAAGGGGAGAAATCTGGAGCAGAGCAAGGCTGCTCCCAGCAGCTTTGAGGAGCTGGGACTCACACTGGTTGTGCTGGGATGTGATCCTCATCTGACCGTATTCCTGTGCTCCAAGGGCTGTTGCGTTTGCCCTGGCAGGAGATCAGGCAAGAATTTCTCCCCTCATGTGTCCCCTGGTCCAGACCAGCCAGGAGGGGAACGCAGTGTGCCGTGTGGCAGCAGTGCTCTACCAAGAGGAAACTGGCTGGGAATGCATGGATGCTCTAGGGTGTGGGCAGCAGTTTTCCCCATTGTAAACCAACAAATTGTCCTGTGTTGATCACGGCAGCTGAGATGGCTACAGACACCAGCCATAGGCCTGACAATAAACAGACCCTGCAGGGGATGGGACAGAGCCCAGGCAGATCTTGGACTGGAAATGGCATTTCTATACGGGACTCGACTGTTAATGTTGAGCACTACCACTGCCTACCAGCAGGAAGGGAAAGGGACCTGTGACTATGCTGAGCTTGCCAGCATGAGAACAATTTCTTCTTGGAGCCCAGACTTCAAATCCCAGCTAGGCCATATGGAAACAGAGGCTATGCTGCTGCCCTGATGGGGAAAGGAGAGGGAGAAAACCCTTATGGATTGTTTTGGGTGTGTTGGAGTTCCCAAACGATGTCAGCTGAAAGAGCCCTCCGGAGAGGGGGAGAAGCAGCTCATGTCAATAGAAACTCCTTTTTCTCATCCCACAAAGCCAGGGGACACTCCACAGTGGAGCCATGTCCTCCGCCACTTTGCGCCTCAGCCTGCAGAGACAACACAGCCACAGAGACACACTTCCTATGTTTATTGCATGCAGAAGAATGACCCAACTAGAAAATGCTCTGGCTCTTCCTCCTTTCTGGCCATGAACACATTTAACCCACTACCAGCGGAGTTCTCACAATCAACCCCCCTTTGCTGTCGCAGCAGCGCCCAGGGGGCTGTGGAGACCCCTTTTGCACACTCACGATCACACTTTCTTCCTTGCACGGCCAAGCTGCATTGGGAAGCAGATAGCTAAGATAGAGGAGTGTGCAGCCCTAAATGCTAGATGCTCTGTTCCTGTGATCGCTGCTGCCTCCAAGGGGAGAGGTGTTTTGAAGGGAAGAACTCCTGAAGGAACCAGATCCAGTATGTGCCTGAATCCATTCAGTGCCTGAACCGTGAGAGCTTGGGGGAACGGCTCGCCTGGTGGTACCGCTGATAACCCTCTGAGGTGGCTGGGAGCAGCAGGAAGCTGCTCAGAGAATCCTTCTGGCACAGGGCCATGGCCTCCTTGTAATTTATCTTCTCTTTAGTGATAGGGTCAATGAGATCCTTTTCATAGTTGGACTCATCCTGGAGCCTGTTGGCCAGGTTGCCTGTTATCATCCCTGTCTGGACAGCTTCCAGCACGGGGATGCGACCGGTTTTCTTGGGATCAATGAGCCCTCCAGTTAGATGCTGGACCTCCAGATAGGGGAAAGCACTCTCCTTGGTTATCCATCCCTTCTGAACTGCTTCCCCCACAGACAGCCTTCGCTTGGTTACCGGGTCCTCAATCCCTGTGAAAGCTTTCTGGGCATTAAGCAGTCTCTGCATGTAGGTCCTGTCAATCAGCCCCCTCTCAACTGCCTTATGGACTGAGAACCGGTCCCGAGAAATGAGGTCTATGATGCCCCCTGTGGCAGCCTGGGCTTCCAGGAGCTTCTGAGCCGTCATGGGATCAAGCAGCTTCTTTACAACAGCAGTCTTGATGTTGTACTTGGTGTCGGTGGTGGTGTCATACACCCCAGCAATGGGGGATGTATCATCACAGAAGCCCTTCTGTGAGGCTGGGGGGAAGAAGCTTTGGGTTTGGTGAGTGGTGGGTGACGAGACTGGGGATTTGGAGATGATGGAACCAATAGAGAGGGATGGGGGAGGCTTGGATTCCCCAGCCACCAGCAAGGCAAATTCAGAGATGGGAATCTTGCCATCGCGGTACAGCTGATATTCCTCCTTAGTGATCCTCCTCAGCCGTAGTGCATCATCAATGGAGTACTGCTTCCCACTTTTCTTGTCAAGGAGCAATGAGACTTCCCCGTTTGGGCCTAGGGTGGTGATTTCCTCCCAGTCACACTCCAGCTCTTGCAGCTGGATGTACTGACCTCTGTCTATAATTCCTCTCTTATAGGCCTCGTAAGGGGACATATCCTTCCCTGTCTCAGGGTCCAAGATAGAGATCTTGGTGGACAGGT